CCCGTGTCCCCTGCATCGGCAGGCGGACTCTCAACCACTGCGCCACCAGGGAAGCCCATGTTGGAAGATTTTTTATCACAGTTTCAATTTCAGTGCTTGCGGTTGGTCTGTTCATATTTTCTCTTTCTTACTGGTTCAGTCTTGGAAGGTTGTACTTTTCTAAGAATTTGTCCATTTCTTCCAGGTTGTCTATTTTATTGGCATATAGTTGCTTCTAGCAGTCTCTTATGATCCTTTGTATTTCTGTGGTGTCCATTGTAACTTCTCTTTTTTTTTTTTTTTTTTTTTTTTTTTGGTACACGGGCCTCTCACTGCTGTGGCCTCTCCTGTTGCGGAGCACAGGCTCCAGACGCGCAGGCTCAGCGGCCATGGCTCACGGGCCCAGCTGCTCCGCGGCATGTGGGATCTTCCTGGGCCGGGGCACGAACCCATGTCCCCTGCATCAGCAGGTGGACTCTCAACCACTGCGCCACCGGGGAGCCCTGTAACTTCTCCTTTTTCATTTCTAATTTTATTGATTTGAGTCTTCTCCCTTTTTTTCTTGATGATTCTGGCTAATGGTTTATCAACTTAGTTTATCTTCTCAAAGAATGAGCTTTTAGCTTTTAGCTTTTTACTGATCTTTGCTGTTGTTTTCTACATTTCTTTTTCACTTATTTCTGCTCTCATCTTTTTGATTCCTTTCCTGCTATACTGTGTGGGGGGTTTTTTGTTTTGTTTTGGGGGTGTTTTTTTTTTTTTTTGCTTTGTTTTTTGTTCTTTCTCTAATTGCTTTAGGTGTCAGGTTAGGTTGAGATTTTTCTTGTTTTTTGAGGTAGGATTGAATTGCTATAAACTTCCCTCTTAGAACTGCTTTTGCTGCATCCTGTAGGTTTTGGGTCGTGTGTTTTCGTTGTCATTTGTTTCTAGGTATTTTTCGATCTCCTCTTTGATTTTTTCAGTGATCTCTTGGTTACTTAGTAGCGTATTGCTTAGCCTCTATTTGTTTGTGTTTTTTCACTTTATTTTCCTGTAGTTGATATCTAATCTCATAGTGTTGTAGTCGGAAATGATGCTTGATATGATTTCAGTTTTCTTAAATTTACCAAGGCTTGAGTTGTGACCCAAGATGTGATCTATCCTAGAGAATGTTCTGTGTGCACTTGAGAAGAAAATGTATTCTGCTACTTTTGGATGGAATGTCCTGAAGATATCAATTAAGTGCATCTGGTCTAGTGTGTCATTTAAGGCTGTGTTTCCTTATTTTCTGTCTGAATGATCTGCCCACTGGTGTAAGTGGGCTGTTAAAGTCCCCCACTATTATTGTGTGACTGTTGATTTCCCCTTTTATGGCTGTTAGCATTTGCCTTATGTATTGATGTGCTCCTTTGTTGGGTGCATAAATATCTACAATTGTTATGTCTTTTTCTTAATCATTATGTAGTGTCCAAGGCATAATACATTTTAACTGGAGAAAAACACAGGTTTAACTAGTAACTTCAATATAATAACTGCTGAATGATTAAATGTATATGGTAAGATTTCCAAAGCTCTAAAACATGCCCATTCTTTATGCTCTATTCCAGCGGTCCCCAACCTTTCTGGCCTCAGGGACCAGTTTCGTGGAAGACAATTTTTCCACAGACCCTGGGGGGGATGGTTTTGGGATGATTCAAGCACATTACATTTATTGTGCACTGTATTTCTATTATTAATACATTGTAATACATGAAATAATTATACAACTCACCATAATGCAGAATCAGTGGGAGCCCTGAGCTTGTTTTCATTTGTCACTCACTGATAGGGTTTTGATATGAGTCTGCAAGCAGTTGATTTATTATGGTCTCTCTGCAGTCAGATCTGTCTGCTAATGATAATCTGTATTGGCAGCCACTCCCCAGCGCTAGTTTCTCTGCCTCAGCTCCACCTCAGATCATCAGGCATTAGATTCTCATAAGGAGCACGCAGACTAGATCCCTCACATGTGCAGTTCACATTAGGGTTTGTGCTCCTATGAGAATCTAATGCTGCCACACTAGATTCTGACAGGAGGCGGAGCTCAGGAGGTAATGTGAGCGATGGGGAGTGGCTGGAAATACAGATGAAGCTTCGCTCGCTGGCCCGCTCCTCACCTCCTGCTGTGTGGCCTGGTTCCCAACAGGCCATGGACCCGTACTGGTCCATGGCCTGGGGGTTGGGGACCCCTGCTCTGTTCAATAAAATTAAAGGGTTATCATATTTTATATGCTCAAGATGTGTTCCTGGGCAATAATGTATTTCCATCAATATAACAAATTAGTAAATTGATTATTTAAAATAGTAAATTGAACTAAGGAACTAATTTCTTTGGTCTGATGGATTTCTGAAGTCTAATAATTTCAGGTTTGTACTACAATCACCTTTAAAGTATCATAAGCCCCACACTGAATTCAAATTAGAAAAACATCTAGGAAGATAATTTGGTATGCATTTATGGAATCCTCAGTGGCTTGCCCATGCCTGTTACATATAGCTAAACTAGGTAACATTATCTAGTGAGCAAGGCCCTATACCAGCAATGTGTAGGCTGTGGAGAATTTACAAATATGTGTGGATGTCCAGTTGTTAAGGTACTAAGAGCTAGGCTACTGGAGCCAAACACAACACATACCCAATATATTATCTTTTAAAACACTCTGGATATAACCCACTGACCCCATACCTCCTAATATTCTTTAGCCTAATGGGTGACTATTTTGAGACTCAGGCTTTACACACGACAGGGATAGAAGTAATCCCACTGGTGATCAGACTTTATATTTCTTTACATAAACTGCTGCCAAGTCAACAAAATCCCATTTTAAAAGATGCTGTTAATGAAAAATTTTACTAGGATTAATCCCAAATTTATCTGTTAGGTGAAGATTTCTACATGACAGGCTCCTTAACCATGTCCTAAACACTTGTAGAACAAAATATTTAGCTATCTTCAGTTTGTTATAATTGGTTCTGACTGAATCAAAACATATAAACATATCCCCTTCTTAAAATAGGTAGTGTAGCCCAGATTTGTAAATTTATCCTCATTTTAAAACTAGAAATGCACTATAGTTAGTATAATTAACACAATGGCTATCAGGAAGCTTGTCATTCGTATATCAAGCAATATATTTTACATTCGGCAAACTTAATTTTTATCAAATGTCCTTTAATTTCATAGACAACAATATGATACATATTGTATAAGAAGCACACAATAGTTTTGCAGTACAATTTCAAAGTGTATACAAATTGGAATACAGAGGTTAAACACTGGTGTGCTGACAGTATTTTTGAACTCTGGATAAACTGCATACAAAACTTACAATTCAAATATTAGCCAATCTGGAAACTTTACTTCCTATAATATAAAAATGATACTTTGAGATGCAAAATATTTTTTACTAACAAACTATATAAACATTTAAAATAATCATTAAAAACTCAACTTTAGAATTTATAAAGATTAGCTATAAAAATATATTGGCAGTCACATTTCTTATAAATGTACCATTCACTACATTACAAAATAGTCTCTCACATAAAATTGCCTTAGTAACTGTACTGTTTTAGAATCTGATAAACCTTACATTAAACCAATGATAAAATCCTCTTGGAAAACTTTGGTATGCATCTTCAGAAGGTTTTTAAAATACTCTAACATCTCAAGGGCCTGTAAACATTCCATTCTATTAAAGCACAACAGAATAAGTAATGTATATTTAACTGCATACAGAATATAGAATCAAAAAACAATTTATTAAATATTTGTAGAAAATCACCATTCCCAGAGTAACCAAAAAACAAACCATTTAAAAGTATCAAGCTTTTAAACAATTCTCTTTCCATTCTGATAAAAAAATGTTACAAAAATCACCACACTCCATTCATGTACCTTAGATGCCTTTTAGGACAAGGCCTCAAAAATAGTTAACCCAGTCTCAAAAATCCTCTCAAGTCCAATAAACAAACTTTTAAAAACCCATTTAAGACCTGATGATAGAGCAAGTATACATAATCAGAACACACAGTTTATATATTTAGTTGTATATTAGCTTTTTTCTATTTGTAATTTAGAATTTATTGGCAGAAGTTGCACACACACACAATTGAAAAAGGTAAATTTTAGGAAATGGTAAGAAATGCAAACCTATAGGGTAAATTGATTTATTTTTAAAAATCTGATTTATCAAATTTCATCTTATCTGCCATTTTTGGAATATGACAACTATTGTTATTTAGAAAATTTGAATTTGTGAAAGTTCATTTCTTGTTTCTTGAGTATGTTTAATTTTTACAGAGCTTCCAGTTGTGCCAGTAACCTCCTTGAGGTCTTTTTCCACTTTATCCTCTGTCACCAGATCTCTTGCATAAGATATTTATCTTTGAGTTGCAAAAGCCTAAATAAAAGCTTCATTTTTGACCTTTTAATTCATAAAACTCCACTAAAAAAGAAAAGAAATTCCGTCTAATTTTTAGGCAAGTCCACAAAATATGTTCTTTCTTAAGCATCAAACACTTTTATTAGAATAAAGATCCTTCAAAGTTTTCAACTCTTCTATTAGAGTTTTATTTTGATTTTCCAGGACTGCAACTCGATTTTCCAGACATTTCACATATTCTTTCTTCTTTCTGCGACATTCTCGAGCAGCTTCTCTAAATGTAAGCATTAAAAAAACCAATGTTAGAAAAAAGTTCACATTCCTTAAATGGTAAATGCACTTCAGTAATCTTCCCTGGTCATCATTTTTTCCTCATTAAAAAAAATTAAGGTATAATCTATATACAGTGAAAAACACAATGATCTTCAGTGCAGAATTCAATCAGTTTTGGCAAATGCATATACCTGTATAACCCACCCACTCATCAAGACATACATTTTTATTGCCCCAGAAAGTTCCCTCATGCCCGTTCATCTCCCCAAGCAACTACTGTTTTGATTTTTATCACCATAGATGAAATTTTTCCTATTCTAGAACTTCAGATACCAGAGTCATACAGAATGTACTCTTGTGTCTCATCTCCTTTCACTCAGTATATTTTTGAGGTTTATCTGTGTTACTGTGCAGTGGTTTGTTCCTTTATATTGTTGGGCATATTCCACTGTATGAATATCATTACAATTTGTTGATCCATTCTCTTGGGCTGTTTTCTAGTTTTGGCTGCTATGCATGTTCTTATGCCAGTCTCTTTGTGAACATATGTCCCATTTCTCTTGGATAAATACCAAGAAATGAAATTTATGGGTCCTCTTATTCACTTTTGGCACATAGGCTCTCTAATTTTTATTTATTGAGTTTTAATTACAGACAGTGCTTTCATTCTCAGTTTTGTACATGTCCTGTTAGAATATTTCTATGGATTTACATTCAAGTTTTACATACATATAGAAGTAAAAAGTATTATTTTGAGTATTTTTTATACTATGGACTGTAGATATTATCTGCAACTTGCTTTTTTTACACATACTATTTTAATGATGTTTCTATTGATATACTGGTACACAGTTCTTTGCCATGTGGACATTTCATTGTTAATTAATTTTCACTTCCCTAACTACTAGTGTGATTGAGCATATTCTCAAAAATTTAACGGTCTTTCAGATCTGCTCTTACATAATTTGCCTATTCATACCCTTTTCCATTCATACATTTTGCCCATTTTACAATTAGAAATTATTTGAAAGATGAACAACCTAAGAACTCTCAGTGCATTATACACAGTAACCCTTTATCTGTTTCTACATTATTTTCTAATCTACCACTTGATTTCTGATATTTTTATTTCTTAATGCAATAAATGCTCTTTTTTAAACTCTTTCTTGGCTTAGATTAAAATGTGATACACTATGTATTTCTCTCTAAATTTTATCTTAAAGATTTTATTGCTTAATTTTCACAGTTAAGTCTTTAATCCATCTGCAATTACTTCTGTATATGGTATAAAATAGGAGTCCAATTTAATTTTCCTCCAGATGTGGAGTTGTGTCAGTATCATTTCAAAAATATATTCAACATTTTTTCAGTTGGGTTGTACTTCTGATTAATTCAGAAGATCTTTATATTTTTTCAAACAAATCTGTTTGGTTTTGGTTAGATATGTTGCAAATATCTTCTGTAGGTTTGAAGCTTATATTTTCATTCACTTTATCTTTTGATGAAAAGAAGTTACTCATTTTAATGAGGATTCATCAATTTTTCATGTTAATTATTTTGTGTTTATGTGTGTTGTTTTAAGGAATCTTCCTTATACTTGAAACCATGAGATTATACATTTTCATCTAAAAGTTTTTAAAATTTCATCTTTCATTCATTTAGTATGATTTTTGTGTATGGTGTGAGGAAGAAATCCAATATGTTTTTTCACATATAACTAACTATCTTAGCACCATTTATTTGGAGTCCCTCCTTCCCCCAGTAATCTGCCCTACCAGGGTTTCATGTATTCACAGATCTGTTTCTGAGCTCCCTACTCTATTTCACTGGTGATTTTGTTTATCTCAATGCCAATATAACATGATTTGAATTACCACAGCTTTAAACAAAACTTGATATCTCCTCACCTTATTCTTGTCTGGAATATTTTGGCTGCTCTTGGGCCCTTTACTCTTCTACAAATTTTAGTATCAACTTGTCAATTTCTTCAAACAACCTGTTTGGGTTTTGATTGGAACTGCATTGAATCTATGGATCAATTGGGGGGAAAAATAGTCATCTTTATAATACTGAGTTTCCATATCTATGGACATAGTATATTTCTCCATTTATTTAGATCTTCCTTAATGTCTTTCAAAAACATTTTACAATGTTTTCTGTAAATGTCCTGGACAGCTTTTGTTAGATTTATTCTCACATATTTTATTTATTGATAATATAAATGATATCTTTTAAATAATTATTTACCAAACTCTTTATTGATGATGTGAAGAAATACAGTTGATTTTTTTTTTTTTTGCGGTATGCGGGCCTCTCACTGTTGTGGCCTCTCCTGCCGCGGAGCACAGGCTCCGGACGCGCAGGCTCAGCAGCCATGGCTCACGGGCCCAGCCGCTCCGCAGCATGTGGGATCTTCCCAGACCGGGGCATGAACCCGCGTCCCCTGCATCGGCAGGCAGACTCTCTCAACCACTGCACCACCAGGGAAGCCCTACAGTTGATTTTTGAAAACGGATTTTGTATCTAGTAAACTCATTACTTACAATAATTTTTCTCTAAGTCCATTTGGTTTTTTTTTTAAATCAAGCAATCGTATAAAAGATAGTAATAGTTTCTATTTTTTTCATTTAAATCCTTGTAATTTCCCCTCCCTTTTCCTGTTTTACTAAACTGGCAAGGGCTTCTGGTACAAATGTTGAAAAGAACTGGTTCTTTTTCAATTTCAAATAGTTTGCAGATAGATCTTCCTGGATATTCTAAGCAGATGAATATATCTTTGCTAATAATAATAGTTTTATTTTTCCTCTCCAATTTTTATCATTTTTATAGTCTCTTGAGCTTTGATGATTTACAATGACATCCTTTTTTTTAAATACAAAAGACATACTTCTTTCCCTCTCTCCACTAGATTACTAAGACTTCACAAAACTTATTCTGTCGTCTGCTCTTTCTGCTGACTCTCGCTCCTGAAAGGCAGTGTGGGATTCCCTAAGACTTTGGACTCTAAAACTTGGACCCATGAATTTAAACCCTACCTCTAGCAGTTACTAAGCAGTGTAACCTTGGTCAAGTAACAACTTCTCTAGGCCTCAGTTTCCTCATCTCAAAAAAATGGAAATAATTTTTTGTGACAGTTGCCTAAGGGGTTGGCACATATAATGGAGGCCTAATTCCTTGGGTAGTCTGATTTTTCAACTTATATTTGTTAGAACTCAATGTATGGGAATTCATTAGACCCTGTGTTGAAGTTGCTTTCTCCAATTGGGGGCACTAACGTTTTAAATTACAATTCTCAGCTTATGGATGTAGTACTTCTTGGGTCTTGACCTCGTGAAAAATAATCTGTGATCCAGTTCTCCAGCCTGCAGAGGCCCCAGGCTCTGTCCTGAGTCCCCTCTGCATACCAAAGCTATACCAATTACAAAGATCTGAATTTATCCCTAGGATATACAGGGGCTGCTTAAGTGCTTATTTAACATCATGGTCCTGGGCTTCTGGTTCGCATATCTAACCTCAATAGATTTCTCTTACTTTCTGCATGCTCATCCAGTCATTTAAAAGGATGGTTTTTATATTTCATCAAGCTTTTATTATGTAGCTGAGGTTACACTGTCAGAAAGAGAAGTCACACTCTAGTCATTTTTAACAAGCCTTTTGGGTTTCCTAGGTACACAATCATATCATCAGCAACAAGATACAATTCTTTTCTAATAATTTACATAACTTACTTCATTTACTTGTATTTGTTGGAACCTCCAAAACAACAGATGGTCCCTGCCTCGTTACCAAGTCATTTACAGTGATGCTTCCTCTTGTTTTTAGTAAAGAAACATTTTATCTTGAAGTAATGAAATGTATCCATCTGGTCCTTTTATGGTAATTTTTATTGCTCTAGAAAATTATCCTTTATTCTAATTTTCTAACTTACTGGAGAGGACCTGAAAATAGAACCTTATTATAATTTTAAAAATTTGTTGTATCTGTGGCTATTTACCCTTTTTTGTTTCTAATATAGTTTACTGGTGTCTTTTCTTTTCCCTTGAACACACTGCAGAAGGCTACCCATCATATTCTTTTTCTCAAAGAACTAGCGATTTTTAATGCCTGATGTATATGTAGTGCATATAGCAATGTTTAAAATACATTCAAAACAAACAAATGTTTCTGGGGGTTAAATGACTACTATATTTCATGATCAAAATTCATTTTTAAGAGCAATTCTGTATCCAGAAATATATTAGGTATTATGCAGAATCCTACTAATTCTTGCCTATTCTTACTCTGGTCAACAGCAAGCAGCAAATTATTATTTTCACTTAACTTTGTCATCTGAATAAGAACAAAATATATTGTTTGAAAAGTTTTGCTTAACAGTGCTATTCAAAGGACACAATAAAAATGGAAGAACTCTAGGTCATATATTAAATAAAGAAACTATGCAAAGGGACTCACTGATCCACTAGACATAATCTAAAACTCTTAAAATAATGTTGATATAATCCCCTCTCCTTGTTTCTAATATACAATCTCAGTTAATATCTGGTTATATTTTGAGATTTATAAAAACATTACCCATTCTGATAGTATAATTTTACTACCTACCTATTTTTCATCAACCTTATTTCTCTTTTCAGTTGGGGGTCATCTGTCTTAGTTGTCTGAGATGTAAGGGTTACGGGAGATGTCATCACCACGGTTTGTGGTAGCGAAGTAGCTGAAGGTGTGGTACGGATCTGATATGTCTGCATATCTCCTGATGCAGCTGTGTGGTCAAAAGAATGAGTTAATTTATAAGTGTCTTTGAAAGTACTTTGTGATGCTTTCCATAGATAGTTAAGCAAACTTACTTTGTACAACCACCTGGTTGCTGGGCACAAGTATTTGCTGTCCATCAGAGGTCTGTGCATACTGGAGAATTGTTGTACCTTGTTGAGTACTGCCTGAATTTGTCATGGTTAATGTCTGAAGCCCCTGTACTCCATCTGTGCCTGGACTGGCCAGCTGTAAGGCTCCATTTGGGGCAATGGCAACTTAAACCAAAGAGAGAACATAGCTAATATAAGGCTGTACAACACACTAATGACAAAGGATTGGCAAAAAAAAAAATTTGCTATTTATTAAAACAGGTTTAAATGCAATTCCACTTGATAACTGTTGACTACTTTGGGTGAGCTATATGTAAAACAAGTAAAACGGCATTTCTTCAGAAAATTTTGTATTTCAGATGCACTAATCTTAAATTTAGTCTCAGACTGTACAATAACTGATTGGTCAGAACCCATTTGGGGCTCTATAGAGCATTCTATGCTAATTGTTAATGTTGTCACAGCAATTTTGGGCCATTAGAAGAGGCTACCACCGATGACAAACTTTTAAAGGAAAAATAAGTAGTAGGCAATATTAACATAGTTTGTAATTTTTATTTAAAGGCATTAAAAAGATTGTATTTTAAAATATTTTTGAATAGGTAAGTGTGCCTATGGAAGAAAATTCAAAAAGGATAAAAGGTTACATAAAGAAAAAGTAAATCCTCATACTATTTCTTAGCTCCGCTCTCTAGTGGTGACCACTGTTTCTGATTACCCTTATCCTTTCCCTACTACCACACAACAAATATTCCCATATACTTTAATTTATAAAATGACTTTAGAAGTAAAGACATTAAAATTTTTTAGGGGCTTCCCTGGTGGCGCAGTGGTTGAGAGTCCGCCTGCCAATGCAGGGGACACGGGTTCGTGCCCCGATCCGGGAAGATCCCACATGGCGCGGAGTGGCTGGGCCCGTGAGCCATGGCCGCTGAGCCTGCGCGTCCGGAGCCTGTGCTCCGCAACGGGAGAGGCCACAGCAGTGAGAGGCCCGTGTACCGCAAAAAAAAATATATATATATATTTTTTAGATTCAGAGATTTCTTTTAAACTTATACTAGGAATTACTTTCAATCTCCTTCCCTGCAACACACATTACATACATATATAAATATGTATATAAAAAGTCCCATTATCCCTATTTATTCCACTGTCCACTCCCCACCCCCCTCCTGAGGTAAACATTATTTTGGTGCACAACCTTCCTAATCTTTTCCTATGCTCACACAGATTGATATATAAATATCAAAATAGGTTTATTTACACACATTATAGATACACATCTTTTGATGTTAAATATATATGTTAATACAGAATATTTTCGTTTTTGCAACCTGTCTTCCTGTACTTGCTTAACATGTGTATTTACCTGGTTGAATTTACTTCTTTGAAGAACTCAACTGTACTGTTCAATACAGTAGCCATGAGCCATGCGTGGCTATTTAAATTAACTAAAATTAAAATAAAAAATGCAGTTCCTCAGTCTCACCAGCCACACGTCACGTGCTCAGTATTCACATAGTTTAGCAGCTACTGTACTAGACAATGCAAATACAGAACATTTGCATCGTCAAGTTCTACTGGATCATGCTGCCCTAAATATGACTTGTACTGTACTTACTTCAGTTGTAACATATGAAATATTAGCCCAAGTTTCTTTGTAGTTTTCATAATTCTAATTTTTAATGGGTTTAGAATAATAAACCATTTAATATATCATAACTTTTAACTTGCTAATATGCTGCCTTAAAAAATTTTTTTGGAAATAGCAATACATGTATATGATTAAAAAAAAAAATTCAGTTTTGTTTAAAATGAAAAGTGAACCTCCCAATTGCCTCTGCTCTCTGCTCCTAAGTTTCCTTCCTTGCAACCGCTATTCCCAGTTTCTTATGTGTCCTCACAGAAATATTCTACATATATTCTTAAAATCATAACACATTTTAATGAAAGCCTACATGCACCAGGCCCTGTATGCCAGGGTTATAGTTGTGAACTTACATTCCTTGAGAACAGATCATAAATAAGCTAATCTATAATTATATACATTCTGTAATTAAGCTACTATATTTTATGGCATTTATACGTAATTATAAAAAGTGAGGATGTAAGGCATGTGAGGATCTGGTGAAGAACGCGCAGGTAGTAGGGATGACACCTCCAAAGATCCTGAGGTAGAAACAAGCTTCATGTGTTAAGGAACAGCAAGAAAGTCTGTGTGGCCAGAATGGCATCAAGTGGTAGGAGATGAGATCAGAGTGGCAGGCAAAGCCAGATCCTGAATGTAATGCTTTGTGGGACCTATTCTAAAGTCACTGGAAGATTCTGAGCAAGAATGGTGTGATCTGACATTTTAAATAAATTGCTTTGGCTGAGATATGGAAAAGTATTAGAGCAAGAATGGAAGCAAGATGACCAATCGGATACTGCAGTAATTCAGATGAGAGTGTAGACTGAGGTGGTGGAGAGGATGACTGGAGATGGTGACAGGTGGTCAGATGGGACACCAATAAAACTTGAAGAACAGGGGTTAGGAGAGGAGGGAGAGATTATCTACAAACGGACACAGCACAAGTGAATTTCTTGGGGTGATGGAGTGTCTTGATTGTGGTGGTGCTTAGACAGCTCCATGCATTTGTCAAAACTCACAGACTTATACCCTAAAGTAAGTATATCATTTACAAGCCGTGTATCACTTACAAGCTGTATGACTTCAGGGATATTATCTGACTCTAAGCCTCAGTTCCCTCATAAATTGATAACTGCCCACCTCACGACAAAGTTGTTGTAAGGAATAAATGAGATAATACTGAAAAAGAACTTTGCATTATTTCTGGCTCAAAATGTTATCCTTTAATAATCATCACTATTAAAGTATGACAGTTTACACACCACTTCTTCAAACAGAAAGGTTAGTTTTTGTGTGTCTATCGGGTGGGAAATTTATTCCTATACGTACTGTACTGTCCGGTGCTAGTCTGATAGATGGGAGTTGGAACAGACATAGAAGTGACAGTAGAAACTCCAGGATTTTCTCCGTCTCCTTTTCTGCCCCGTGTATCTTCAGAAGATAGGTCTTTCAAAATTTTTCTGTGAAAAATAGAGCTCTATTATTACTGTTGGTGATGAGGACAGCTTTACAAAGAAATTACTAAACCTTTTAAATCTCAGGTTAAAAATACAGTAATCTGGTAGACACCTAAACTCTTATGTCAAGGAATCCTTTGTTTAGCACATACTGTGTTTTAGCACAAACTAGACTTTGTTTATTAGCAGGCTGGTTATATTTTAGTTTATGACGACATGAAAAGAGACACTGAGCAAATACCCATACAGGGTGCCTTTCAATATACAAGGCCCTTGTAGAGGTATAAAATGTCTCCTTCCCCTACAGGAGAGATGGCTCCATTGTGAGGTATTTCATTAATTAACAAAGTACTATTCATTTTCTAAATAGTGTCAGTGACCTTTATTAAAAAGATTAAATTTTGGACTTCCCTGGTGGTCCAGTAGTTCCAGTGGAACAATCCGTGCTTCCACTACAGAGGGCACAGTTCGATCCCTGGTTGGGGAACTAAGATCCTGCATGCCACGTGGTGTGGCCAAAAAATTAAAATAAAAAAAAATACTACTATAAAGACTGGTGGTTGTCAAGGGGGAGTGAGGTGGGAGAGGGATGGATTGGGAGTTTGGGGTTAGCAGATGCAAACTGGTATATATGGAATGGATACACAACAAGGTCCTACTGCATAGCACAGGGAACCATATTCAATATCCTGTGATAGACCACAATGGAAAAGAATATGAAAAAGAAGGTATATATGTATGTATAACTGGGGGGAAAACCCCATTTTCCTAACTTTGATGGAAAGTACAAAAAAAATACTACTATAAAAATGCAGAGTTATCAGTGATAAATAAAATTGCTTATTTTAACAAGAAGTACATTTGATTCCACAGGCATCCCTCAGACTTGGTTAAAAAAAAAAAAAAGGGACTCATGGCAAGAATAAGGGGATGGAAAAAGATGCCTTGCTGAGAAGAAAGGTCTTCCAAAACACAGCTGGGGATGGAGGGAGCATAATTTTGTTTCTGGGGAAAAAAAGAAAAGGAAAAAAATGTTTACTCAAGAATTCTGTGTTTATTGTAGAAAAATCAGAAAACCTGAACTACTTGTGTGGAAACAATAATAAAAAAGAATCACAAAGGAAAAAAAAAAAACGCTCAGCATTAAAAGGGATCTTTCTGTTATCTATGCTAACCCTCCAGCCAGTGGAGGAATTCTCTAGCATTGCTAACAGCCTCTACTTCCAGGAATAATTCATCTACAACTTCCAAAAAGCAAACTATTCAATTTTTGGATGGTTAGAGCTCATCCTTATTTAGACTCAAAGCTAATTCCACCCAATGAAGCTAGAGAAAGTTAAGCTTTACCCTAATTGGGTTGGCCAAAAAGTTCATTCGGGTTTTTCATCACATCTCACAGGAAAACCCGAATGAACTTTTTGGCCGACCCAATATATCCATGTCCTTCTTTGCAATATTTGACAACTGCTACAGGTCTTCTTTACTGGAGGCCAAATAATTTTAGATCCTTCAGCTGTTCTCTTACCACACGTTGAAGATCCTTCTCCAGCTTGGTCTCTTTACTCTGGACAGTCTTCCCAAAAAGACCTGCAAGTGTAGACTGTACTAACAGAAGTCCCACACAGAGAGCAAGAGAGGTGGCAGTCCTATAGGACTCTGTGTTAGCCATCTGTAGAATTGTCACAGTGGTTCCTAAACCTGCTTATGTACCAGAATCAGCTGGAGAGGTTTACTGAATTCAGATTCCCAACTGGTAACCCTAATGATTGAGTGGACAGAGCTCCAGAATCCATTTAACAAGCTGCCTGCATGGTCTTGAGCAGCCAGCCTCGCATGAGACTGTGGAATGCTGTGGCCATTTCTTTTTCAATTTTAAGTTATGAAACATTTTGAGCATAAAGAGAAGTACAGAAAATAAAACACCAATGTACCATGTACCAAGAACCATTAGATGGTATTTTGCCATGTTTGCTTTAGATATCTCATTTTTAATAGGAATTAACTTACAGATACACCAAAATGTCACTACCAATTCCTTTCCCTGCTCTTCTCCCCCCTCAAAGAGTACCATTATCTAAATTGTTGTTTACCATTCCCATATATATTACTTTATTTTTTACTATATTTTGAGATATTATTTGCCACTGTTTTGCATTCTTCCTCATCCTCCTGCCTCATTCTTGGAGAACCTTAGTCTTTTGGACTTCTCTTTATCTATATTCTTTCTAATGAGCTCATCTGTCCCATAGGCTTGAATACCTTGTGTATACTGATGACCCCTCAAATGATATTTCCTCAACTTCTCTCCTTAACTCGAAACTCCTATATCCAATTGTGTATTGAATACTTCCACTCAGTAGGCACCTCAAACTTAATACATCCAAATCTAATGTCAGATATCCTTCCACCGCCTGCAGTCTTACCCACGTCAGTAAATATCGACTGTTTTTCAAAAATTTTGGAGTCATTCTCTCTTTCTCACAACCTTTATCCAATTCATAAACAAATCCCATTGTCTCTATCTTGAAAATACATCCAGAATCTTACCCACCCTCATCACCTCCACTGCTACACCCCAGTCCATGCCACCGCCCTCTTGACTGAACAGCAGTAGCCTCTAACAGTTCCTCCTTTAGTCTACCCTTCCCTTGCTACATTCCATTCTCCACACCAATCATCAACAACCAGTCATCTTTTTAAAATGTCAGTCAGATCAAGTCACTCATCTGCAGTGGCTCCCTATCAGAATAAATGACACAGTCTACAAGGCCATAACTTGTCCCTGTGACCTCCCCAACCTCATCTCTGACCACTCTCCCCTTTATATTCACCATTCCCCCCATCTTGCTACCGGATTATCAATTTTACTAATTCTTTTTCCCCCAAAGAACCACCTTTCAGTTATATTATCTCTATTAGTTTTCTCTTTTCAAGTTCATTGACTTCTGCTCTGTTTTTCTCCCCTGGCCGTGCCATGCATCTTGCAGGATCTTAGTTCCCCGGCCAGGGATCAAACCCGGGCCCCTGGCAATGGAAGTGCAGAGTCCTAACCACTGGACCACCAGGGAATTCCCTGATTTCTGCGCTTAATCTCTATTATTTCATTTCTCCTGCTTGCTTTGACCTTATTTTGTTTTTCCCCTAGTTTCTTAAAGTGGAAACTTGTTGATTTGAGACTTTCCTTCTTTTATAAGTTTTTATTTAATAAGGTAAATTTTCCTCTAATTATTTCCCACTGGTTGCAGCTCCAGATTTTGATATTTTCATTTTTCATTAAGTTCACAGTGCTTTCTAATTTCCCTTAAGATTTTCTGTTTGGTCCATGGATTATTTCTAAGTGCGTTAATTTCTGTATGTTTGGAGATTTTCCTGTTATCTTTCTTTTACTGGCTTCTAGTCTAATTCAAATATAAAAGAACTTTGCACAATTTCAATTCTTCTAAATTTGTTAAGGTTTGTTATGATCCAGGATGTGGTGTTTCTTGGTGAATGTTCTTTGTGCACGTGGGTGAAGTGTTCTAAAAATGTCAATTAGATCCGACTGGTTGATTGTATTGTTCAGTTGTTCTATAATCTTGCTGAATTTCTGGCTACAAGTTCTGTCGGATACTGAGGTAGGTGTACTCAAATTTTCAGCTATAACTGTGGATTTATTTTGCTTTCCAGTTCTGTAAGTTTTTGATACATGTATTATGAAGCTCTGTTGTTAGATGCGTACCTATTTAGGATTGTTATGTCTTCTTGGTGAACTGACTCCCTCTTTATCTCTGATAATCTTCTTTGCTCTTAAGTCTTATTTTGTTTGCTTTTTTTTTTTTTTCAGTACACGCGCTTCTCACTGTTGTGGCCTCTCCCGTTGTGGAGCACAGGCTCCGGACGCGCAGGCCCAGCGGCCATGGCTCACCGGCCTAGCCGCTCCGCGGCATGTGGGATCTTCCCGGACCGGAGCACGAACCTGTGTCTCCTGCATCGGCAGGCGGACTCTCAACCACTGCGCCACCAGGGAAGCCCTTAAGTCTTATTTTGTATGATATTAATATAGCCAGTTTATATAGCAATAGTAGTAATGGCTTATAAGGTATGTATGTTCAGTATTTTGAAGAACTGCCAGATTGTTTCCACAGCCACTGCCCCCCTTACCAACACCTGTTATGGGTTTTTTGTTTGTTTTTGTTTTTTAGGCATCCTACTAGGTTTGAAGTCATATCTCATTATTTTGATTTGCATTAACCTAATGACAAATGATGTTGATCAGTTTTTCACATACTTATTGACCATTTGTATATCTTCTTTGGAGAAATGTTTATTCAAATCTTTTCTTCATTGTTTAACTGGGTTATTTGTCTTAACAACATTTAGTCTTCCAACTGATAAACATGTGATGTCTTTTTGTTTAGATTTTTAAAAAATGTCTCTCAACAAGGTTTTGTAGTTTTCAATACACAAGTATTATACTTCTGTTTTATATAATTTGAATTTATAAATTTAATTTCAAGTATTAAAGTATTTTATACATTTTATGTTATTTTAAATAGGACTGTTTTCTTAATTTTATTTTTGGATTGTTTATTGCTAGTGTATAGAAAACCAGTTGATTTTGTATCCCACAACCCTGCTGAACTTATTTATCAGTTCTATTTTAGTGGATCCTTTGGGATTTTCTATATATGAGATCATTGTCGTCTGCAAACTTTTATTTCTTCCTTTCCAATATGCCTTTCATTTCATTTTCTTACCTGATTTCCTGAGTAAAATGTTAAGCAGAAATAGTGAGAGCAGACATCCACAGCCTTGTCTTGTGCCTGATCTTAGGGGGGAAAACATTCAGTCTTCCACCATTAAATATGATGTTAGCTCTGGGCTTTTGTAGATGCACTTTATCAGGCTGAGGAAACTCCCATCTATTTGTTTGATGAGAATTTTTATCATTAAAGGGTACTGGATTTCATCAAATGCTTTTTTGTGTGTCTGTTCAGATGACTATAAGTTTTTTGTTTTTATTCTATAAATACGATGTATTACATTAATTGATTTTCAAATGTTAAACCAATTTTGCACTCAGATAAATCTTAATTATGGTGTATAATACCGTCTATATGTTGTTGTACTTGGTTTACTAATATTTTCTTGAGGATTTTTGTGTCTATTTATAATCTCTGTCTTTTAGTGAGTTTAAGTCATGCTGTCTTAATATAACTACTGATATTGGTTGATCTACCATTTTATTATTTGCTATCTTTTTAAAAAATTCTGCATTCTTTTGGGTTAAGATTTTTCAAAACTCTAATATATCTATTGTGTATTTGACTAAATTTGTACAGTTTCTTTAGTAGTTGTTCTAGGTGTTACAGTATAGATGCCTAGTCTACTTATAGTCACTATTTTATCCCTTCAAGTGAACCTTAGAAACTTTACCACCATATTAAATCTCTTTATCCTCCCCCATTAATGTTATAGCTGTCTTACATATTAAAACTGCCTACACTGAAAACCCCATCAGACAGTGTCATTTTTTTCAACCATCAAACATATTTTAAAGAATTTAATAGGAGAGTAGTCCATTATATTTGCCCAGATCTTGCTGTTGCCTTTACTCATTCCTAACCTTCCAAGTTTCTTTTGGTCTTAACTTTCTTAGCAGTTATTTTAGAGCAAGTCTGCTGTCAATGATTTCTCTTAGTTTTCCTTTATCTGAGAATACTTAGTTCACCTCCATTTCTGAGGATTATTTTCACTAGATAGAGAATTCTGGATTAACAGTTTTCTTTAGCACTTTAAAAATGCTATTTCATTTCTTCTAGCTTGCACAGTTTTTGATGAGAAATCTATAATCATTCACATCATGCCCTTATAAGTAGTGTCATTTTTCTCTGGCTGCTCACAATATTTATGTATTTTTCAGCAGTTTGATTATGATATATGTCTGGGCAGGGATTTCTTTGCATTTTATCTATTTTAAGATTTGCTAAGCTTTTTCAATTTGTAGGTTTCACCGAATTTGGGGATATTTCAGCTATTATTTCTACAAGTATTTTTTCTGCAACATTTTTCTGTTCTATAACTCAAATGACACAGTTTAGATCTTTGGATATTGTCTCACAAGTCCCTGAGAACTAGTTACTTTTTCCAATCTCTATTCTTCAGATTGGATAATCTCCATTGAACTGTCTTTGAAGTTGACTAACTCTTTATCTCTGTTCTCTTATTGAATCCGTCCAGTGAGGTTTTGTTTCTGTTAGTGTATTTAGCTCTTAAATTTCTATTTTGTTCTCTTTATAGCTTCTGTATTTTGCTAAGAGTTCCTATCTTTCCATTTCTTTCAAGAGAATTCACCCTTTACTTGTTAGTTAGTTAGAACATTTCAGTAATAGCTCTTTTAAAGTTTTTGTCATATAATTCCAACATCTGGGTCATGTAGGAGATGGCATTTGCTTATAATCTTTTCCCTTACAAGTTAAGATTCTTCCAAGTTCTTTGTATGCCATGTAATGTTAGACATTTTCAATATTATATTAGACTCCTGTTTAAATCCTATGGAGAATTCTTGATATTCTTGTTTTAGCAGGCTATCAGCCTGGTTGTGTCCAAGTTGCAAGTTCTGACCAGCCTTCTGTGGGTCGAGGTTCCATCAATTTAGTTTTCAAAGACTATGCAGTGCTATTCAGATTTGGTCCATGTGTGTACCATGTTTGGAACTTGAGCTATGATCTGTCCTATGTATAGTTCAGTTCTCAAAGTCTGTATATGCTAGGAAAGTCCATTTTTATTCCTTATTTGCTAAAAATTTGAGTGGGTGCTGAATTTTATCAAATACTTTTCTGCATTTATTGAGTTCATTGTATATTGTTTCTGCTGATTCTCACTTACAATGGTTTATTTCTTTGTATGTTTGATGATTTGTGACTGTAAATTCATATTTGGTTGATCCTATCTTTGGTAATTCGGAAAGCTTAACTTGGGGAAACTTTGTTTCAGGCGCTCTAGCCTGCTGTAGGGATCTCAGCTTAACACAAAAATCTCAGGTTCGTAGTCCCTTCCTGCAGTAGACCTAAAGTAATGGGTGTACCTTGGTCTTCATGCTTGCTTCTGCTTCCCATTCTAGTTTCAGCTCATGTATTTGTATGTATATGGTTTTATGTTTATTAGGGTAGGCTGATAAGACATTTCTGTTATTTCCTATAAATGCACAATTCATTAACAAGTATTTATCTAGGAGCTAAATAACTGTTTTGTGCCAAAAGAGCCCCACTATTTGGAAATTAAACTTTTTATCTGTATTCTTTTGCCAGTTACCTCTAACAGTCTAAGGTAAGTCTAAAGGTAGTCGATGTAAGACTCCAGTAGACCATTCCTGTCTTATATATTTCTGCCTGATATATTTCTTTCCATTTGTTTTTAAACTACCCAAATTAATCAATCATTATTAGTATTATTCTAAAAAGTCAATGGTAACTTAAATGAATGTCTTGGTTCACCATTCTTTCTTATATTCACGTTCCTTTTGTTTGGTTTCATTTTCTTCTTCCTGACATGTACCCTTTAGTAATTTCTTAAATCAGTTTGAAATGATTTTAACTTCACCATTATTTATGAGTGATTGTTCAGGTGGGTATATAATTCCAGGCCAACTGTTACTTTCTCTTGGCATTTAAAGATTTTAGTCCATTGTCTTCTAATATTACCATTCAAAAATCTGTTGTCAGCCTAATGGTCACTCCTTTCTAGGGTAATTTGTCTTTTCTCTGTGGAAGCTTTTAAGATCTTATTTTTATCTTCGGTGCCCTCCAGTTTTGCTTCATAAGATATATCTAGATGTAGGTTTAGATTAACTTACATGGTTGGAACCTTGCTTTCTAAGGCTGAGAAATTCATAATGGATTACTTTTTTTTTGGCCACACCGCGTGGTATGTGGGATCTTAGTTCCCTGACCAGGGATCAAACCCATGCTCCCTGCAGTGGAAGCACGGAGTCTTAACCACTGGACAGCCAGGTAAGTCCCTGGATTATTTTTTTATAGTTTCAAATTGAACTCATTTTAGTAGGCTTATTTTTCACCCCCCCCCCCCGAAAAATTCACAGACAAAATTTTTTGTGTGTATTCAGTAGAGTCCCAATTCCTTAACATGGTAACAAGGTTCTAAGTAATGTGGCTCCTGTTTACCTTTTCTTGCTAAACCACCCCTTCCTCCTTGTACCTTAAAATTGCCAATTCCCAGAACAGGCCAACCTCTTTGATATCATACAATCTACCTTTCATTACACACTGTTCCCTCAGCCTAAGAAGCTCTCTTCCTGCCTTACAAAACCCCTCCCTGCTCCTAGCTCTCAGAATTTATCAGATTGATGATGAACTAAATTACATCTTTTTTTTTTTTTTTTTTTTGGTTTTGGGGGGCCCCTCCCTTTTTTGCCTCCCCCCCTGCGGAGCACAGGCTCTGAAAGTGCAGGCTCAGCAGCCATGGCTCACGGGCCCAGCCGCTCTGCGGCGTGTGGGATCTTCCCAGACCGGGGCACGAACCCGTGTCCCCTGCATCGGCAGGCGGACTCTCAACCACTGTGCCACCAGGGAAGCCCTAAATTACATCTTTTATGAAGTCTTTCCTATTTCTTCCGTCAGGCAGGAATGAATACACCCTATAAAAAGTTCTCTCATAACATCGAAAACCTTACTGCATTTGTCTATGTGTTTCAAAAGAGCATTTCATCCTTTTCTGTCTCCCTTTCCTCCTACCATCTAGTCATCAGGTTTGGTCAGTTCTACCACAGAAGTGTCTCAGATCCAGCCATGCCAAAGATACCACACTACCTATATGAAAACACCCAGATTATTTCAAAAGCTTTCTGTCAGTTAGTTGTACTACTTCAGCTTCTGTTCATTCAACAAGTAATTATTAAGCATCTACTCTCATCTGGTCATTCTGCTAGGCCCTGAGGTGACAAAAAATAATAATGCACTGGCCATGCCCATAAATAAACTGGAATTCCAGTAGCATGAGATAAGTACTATAATAGGGGTTAGTAAAAAGATGCCACAGAAGAAAGACCTAACCTGGTCTTGGGAGGCTGAAGAAATTACAGTAAACAGAGAAGGTTTCCAGGAGGAAATGAGGCCTAAAGTATGTGCAGAATGTAGAAGAATGTGTTTCAGCAAAGGGACACACACACAAGGGAAAGACAAAGGCTCAGAGCTAGGAAGCTAAGAAAGGGAACACAAAGTAGTTTAATTCTTTCATATTACTATTAAAGTTAGTAAATATGGATATCTAATACTTTGCCAGAAGATGAGTCTAAATTCCTCTTCGGCACAGCAACTTGGGCCCTTCAAAACCTTGCCCTCTCTTAACACTTCCCTTCCTATACAAACACATGCTCCTTCTTGATATAATTTGCTTTGCCAGCACCATTCCAACTCATATGGTAATATAACACATGCAGGGTTTGACACGAGTACTCACCTGTAAGATGGGCGCCGTGCTAGGATCCCGTGGGTTTTCTGTGAGGAGCCTATGCTGTCAGATGAGTCCTGAGACTCTTCACTTTCTGATAAAGATGATACCTGAAAAACAGAACTGGTTTTACTATGATGAACAAAGCAGGTAGAAAAAGAATTAAATTTAATTTTTACTTTCAGAAAAAATGATCTGTCTTCTGCCACCCAAATTCCTTTGTCATTAAATCTAAGGTCTAAAAGAAAGAAATAAAAGGAAAAGAGAAAGTTTATTTCAGGAGCCCAAACTAAAGGAACATACAACACAGCAGGCTTAGAACTAAGAAGAAAGTCTATCCCCCAAATAAAGCAATACTACTTCACTAGAGTTGTAAAGATCAGTCTCTATACTGATGCACATTATTCAGAGGTTTTCTTTTATCATTAATGCTGTCTGACTTGGATTTCGGACATGCTAACTTTGAAATGTTATCGGATATCCAACCAACATCTAATTATTAGATAATGAAATTGAGGAGACTGCTGAATATACAAGCCTGTGAGTCAGGGAAGGGGTCTGGGCGAGACATATATTGGAAGTCACAGCTCTTTAGATACTCCTTAAAGCCACAAGACTCAGTGAGCTCAATAAGGGGATAAATATAGGACAAAACCCAGGGACACTCTAGCAGTAAGAGGTTGGGAAGAACGGGAGGAACCAGCAAATGAGACCAAGAACAAGCCACCATGAGGAATAACTAAATGAGCAAGGTGTCCTTGGAAAACTAGCGAAAACAGTGTATCGAGGAAAAAAGAATAATCAACCGTGTCAAATTCTGCTAGCAGGTGAAGTAAAACAAGGACTGAGAACAAGCATTAGATTTGGCAAAGTGGAGGTCACTGGCAAGGGCAGGTACAAACACATGCAACTTAAATATCTGTAATAATTAGCTGTATCTCACTTCACAGTTGAATGAGTTAATACATGTAAAGCACTTAGTGCACGGCACAGCGCAAGCACACAGTAAATGTTAACTCTTATTAATAATAAACCTATTAAAACTAGTTACTACAATAACCATATGCAAGTTTTAAGTTATAATATCTTACAATTGAGGAAACGAGTTATTTTCAATTTTTAAAATGTATTAAATTTCTCAGCATTTTTCTGAAGTTGCATTGTGACACCTGACTTCATCTTCATTAAAAAAAATAAACAAAACAGGCTTCTAGAACAGCCATAAATTCTCTACATTACTTACTCTCTACAGAAGGCCTTCCCCTAAACTATTTAGACTTAGATCTTAAATTTCCAGAGAAGCTTGTTTTACATTCTATAGTCTCCTTCAAAAACAAGTTCTAGTGTATTTCTGCTTTTTTGTATCTTAAATCTTTGTCTTTAGATAGGAAAGAAAGATCACAATCTGTAATAATTAAGAAATAATCGCAGTAACAAATAATAAAGTAATAATTAAGGAAGATCTGTCACTTCTATATTTCCTCATGCACCACAGATACGCCATTTCTAATCTAAATATTAGCTGTTTTCCCTGTCTGTCCCTAAATTTACTCCAAAGCCTCCCACTGAACTCAAGTAAGAAAATCATTTCTAAAACTAAGAGATTCCTTATAACTAAGATCAAGTATTTCTCTTTAATAACAGCACTAATAAGAGTAAAATCTTCATATAAAAACTCAAAAATCCATGCAGCAGTCACCTTTCATATTGGAAAAAAAACAAAAACAAAGACAAAAACAAAAAACACATAAAGATGCAGCTCTAGAGCTGACAACACTGCCAGACACTGTATACATTCAAGAGGAAAAAATGAGTTATACAGCTTTTCTTCCAGGATAGCTGCTTCTAAAAATGAGAGATAACCAAAGGCATTCTGAGACTCACAGGAGCCAGAAGATAAAATGGGGAGAAAGAGTAAAAAGAAAAGGAACCCAGGATGGCCTTTTCCTCCCTACTGTTATCAGGTGTAAATATGAAGGTAGATAGATGTAAATAAGAACTTCACTATGAGAGAACTTCTTTTATTTGATCACCATAGGGCATAAGGTAGGTACTTTCTTAGTTTGCTAAAATGCTCACATCATCACCCTTTCTTCAGAATTCTCTTTTTCATGAAGGATACCACTAGGATAAAAAGGTGCTTTCCCTTCAGAAAATCTTTCATTTCCTTAAATTCTAAGCAATAACTTCTTCCCAAAATTGCCTTATATTTTTACCGGGTAGTATATACATGAAGCTAGAAGTTCTAAAATCTAATTTCTAAGACAACTTTATTATCTTGTTTTACAATATTATAACTATAGCAACTTCAGTGTGTCCAGAAACTCAGGGTTCAAAAGTCCCCTCTCTCAACCACTAAGTCTTTGAATTTCTGTACCGTTTGCACGTGTGGTGGGTGAATTACAGAAGACTGAGCTGTCTGGATGACCCCCTGAACCTGTACTTGCTCTCCAGGAAGAGGTACAATTGTCACTGGCGCAGATCCTCTTAATGACATCTAAGAACAAATAAAAATTCAATTAACATAATATAATTATACCTGTGCACGTAAGAAAGCTGAGTTCTTAATACTGGAAAATACATTTCAGAGCTTATTATATTTAACCACATCTATTAATCACATATTAGGTATCTTCTGTGGGCAGGAGACTGCATTAGGGGGTTGAGAGTACAAACTAAACAAACAATAAGAGCTATAATATAAGCAGAGAAGTAGACAGCACTGTACTGTGGGAGCAAAGAAAGGGTGCTACTTCAGCTAGGTCTTGAAAGATAGATATACAATTCCCTGAAGGTGTGCTTGGGGGACAGGGTTGGAAGGTATTTGGGGCAGAGGAACTGATTGTGTAAAAACATGGTGGCTCTTCAGAACATGTCATTCTGAAGATATCTGGTTAAAAAACAATTAAGAAATCAAGAATCAAAAAGTGAGAGAAATACCAACTTTGGGCAGTATCTTCAAAGAAAAATAAATTATAATTTCATGATTCAATTATTTACTTGAAATATTTTATTTCTGTGGAAAGTAGATGGGGTTCCATGGAAATACCACAATAAAATGCTAAACCAAGAAAAGCCCACCCGTCATCCTTCAAGACTCAGCTCAGGTTCTACCTATTCCAAGAAGCTTTCCCAGATATTTTCAGATCTCTCACCTTCCTCTAGACTATCCTGGTTCATACCATCCATCTTGGGCTTAAATCACAAAATAAAATCCAAGGCTGCTTCTCAAGTCCTGAAAGTCACCTTTATGACTCTTTTCTGTGTTTGCATCAGGCCCCCAGAACAATGCCTTATTCCGTTTCATTGAAGGTTCTTTACCCTTTCCCAAGACTGGATTAAATTCCAGTCTCATTATCTCCCAAATGCCCAGGTCAGGGAAATATGTATATTAAAACTTTATCCAAATATCAGAAAGGAAATGTAAAAAAACAGTACCTTTTAAAATCACACCTCCCCAAAATAAAATACTTAGGAATAAACCTGACCAAGGAGGTGAAAGACTTATACTCTGAGAACTATAAAACATTAATAAAGGAAACTGAAGATGATTCAAAGAAATGGAAAGATATCCCATGCTCTTGGATTGTAAGAATTAATTTGTTAAAATGGCCATACGACTGAAAGCAATCTAATGCGACCCCTATCAAATTACCCATGACATTTTTCACAGAACTAGAACAAATAATCCTAAAATTCATATGGAACCATAAAAGACCCAGAATTGCCAAAGCAATCCTGAAGAAAAAGAACAAAGCAGGAGGCATAACCCTCCCAGGCTTCAGACAGTACTACAAAGCTACAGTAATCAAGAGTGTGGTACTGGCACAAAGTCAGCCATATGGATCAATGGAACAGAATAGAGAGCCCAGAAATAAACCCACACACCTATGGTCAATTAATATTTGACAAAAGGGACTTCCCTGGTGGTCCAGTGGTTAAGACTCCAGGCTCCCAATGCAGGAGGCCTGGGTTCGATCCCTGGTCAGGGAACTAGATACCACATACGGCAACTAAAGATCCTGCATGTGGCAAGAAAGATCCCCTGCAACTAAGACCTGGCGCAGGACTTCCCTGGTGGCGCAGTGGTTAAGAATCCTCTTGCCAATGCAGAGGACATGGGTTTGAGCCCTGGTCCGGGAAGATCCCACATGCCGTGGAGCAACTAAGCCCCTGCGCCACAACTACTGAAGCCCATGCGCCTAGAGCCTGTGCTCTGCAACAAGAGAAGCCACCACAATGAGAAGCCCATGCACCTCAACAAAGAGCAGCCCCCGCTCGCTGCAACTAGAGGAAGCCTGCACGCAGCAATGACGACCCAACGCAGCCATAAATAAATAAATTAATTAAAAAAAAAAAAAACCTGGTGCAGCCAAATAAATAAATAAGTATTAAAAAGAAAAATCTTTGACAAAGGAGGCAAGAATATACAATGGGAAAGACAGTCTCTTCAGCAAGTAGTGCTAGGAAGGCTGGACAGCCACATATAAATCAATGAAGTTAGAACACACCCCCTCTCACCATACACAAAAATAAACTCAAAATGGCTTAAAGACTTAAACATAACACATGACACGGTAAAACTCCATGAGAACATAGGCAAAACATTCTCTGATATAAACTGTACCAATGTTTTCTTAGGTCAGTCTCCCAAGGCAATAAAAATAAAAACAAAAATAAACAAATGGGACCTAATCAAACTTACAAGCTTTTGCACAGCAAAGGAAACCATAAGCAAAACGAAAAGATAACCTAAGGAATGGGAGAAAATATTTGCAAATGATGTGACTGACAAAGGTTTACTTTCCAAAATATACAAACAGCTCATACAACTGAACAACAAAAAAGCAAACAACCTAATTGAAAATGGGCAGAAGACCTAAATACACATTTCTCCAAAGAAGAAACACAGATGGCCAATAGACACATGAAAAGATGCTCAACATCGGTAAGAGAGACATGCAAATCAAAATTACAATGAAGGGGAATTCCCTGGCTGCCCAGTGGTTAGGACTCTGTGCTTCCACTGCAGGGGACACGGGTTTGATCCCTGGTTGGGGAACTAAGATCCCACATGCCACATGGTGTGGCCAAAAAATGAGGTAGCAGCTCACACCAGTCAGAATGGCCATCATTTAAAAGTCTACAAATAACAAATGCTGGAGAGGGTGTGGAGAAAAGGGAACCCTCCTACACTGTTGATGGGAATGTAAGTTGGTGCAGCCACTGTGGAAAACAATATGGAGGTTCCTCAAAACTAAAAAACAGAATTAGCATATGGTTCTGCAATCCCACTCCTGGGCATATATCCAGACAAAACTTTAATTCAAAAAGATACATGCACCCCTATGTTCGTAGCAGCACTATTCACAATAGCCAAGACATGGAAAGAACCTAAGTGTCCACTGACAGATGAATGGTAAAGAGATGTGGTACATATAGACAATGGGATACTACTCAGCCATAAAAAAGAACAAAATAATGCCACTTGGAGCAACATGGATGCAAATAGATTATCATACTAAGTGAAGTAAATCAGAAAAAGACAAATACCATATGATGTCGCTTATATGTGGATATACGACACAAATGAACCTATGAAACAAACAGAATCGCAAACAGAACAGACTGGTGGCTGCCAAGGGGAGGGGCTGGGGGAGGGATGGAATGGGAGGTTGTGGTTAGCAGATATAAGCTTTTCTATATATAGAATGTATATACAACAAGGTATACAGTACAGCACAAAGAACTATATTCAATAGCCTATACCAAACCATAATGGAAAAGAATATATAAAAAATGTATATATATATATATATGTATAACTGAATCACTTGGCTGTACAGCAGTAATTAACAACACTGTAAATCAACTATACTTCAATTTAAAAAAACAAAACAAAACAAATAACAAAACAAACCAACCTTTATCCAGGTACTGAAAACTGCAGACTTTCAGCACAAACAACTCCATTCAACCTCCCTCACACACACTAAGAGACATGACCAAACTCTACCACAGCTTCTATCAGTTCAAGGCTGAGTCCCTAGGATGACCCAGCCTCCTTAAAATGCCTCCTAGAGAAAGCTCAATGCTGCCAAAATAATTAACTGTTTGTTCCAGCCAAAACCTGACTATAGGCCTTTGACCTCACTTTTCTTAGAGCACTTACTTTAGAAAACTTGCAGTTGTCAATCTCTGACCCTTGAGATAAACAAATCTTGTACAACCCAGAAATGTCTTTCTCAAGGACCTGGGAGTCATCCCTTCGCAATGCAGTCATCAAGAAGGATAGGGCCTTTGTCTACCAGTCTCTGTTGGAGGATGGGAGCCTAAATTTGATAAGCACCAATTAGCAAGTGGACACAAATGGCTGAATCACAGTGACCAACCTCTCCACCTAACATCTTCAGTACTTTTCCTTTAGCACACTCCAGCATTTTAAAAGGGACCCACCTTTTGTTTCAGCAGAGTTGAGCTCAATTTATGCTGGAGTCTCTCTTCCCTACTGCACTAGTCTGAATGAAATCTATCTTGCTGCCTTTAACAGGTGTCTGGCTCTGTTTCTCACTGACAGTATCCCAATATGGGGACACAGAAATTAATGAGTAAAAATAAACAGAATTCATGAATCTGAAGAGTCCAGCTCTAGAGTCATCATTACACTCAGAGGTCCCCTTACTTTTCAGACCCTAACTAAAGCCACTCACTCAAATAATGAGGAGAGCTTGTGAGGGGGTTAATTTACATTTCTAAAAGGATAAAAGCAATCATTCCTCCAGAGTTTCTGGCAATCCTTGCCTTGTGATTTTGTGCAGACTGAGGATCTGGCAGGCAGAAAAGGAAAAACAGCACCAGATTTTGTTTTAGCTAGCAGTCATCACTTCCCCTTATTATCACTGTTCTAACCTCACAAAATGCTCATCACTCAGGGTCCCAAAGCCTGGTGTCTTCCCACTGCCACTCTCAAATGTGATCATCTAAATCCTGAGATCTTTCTCAAAGAAGGCAAAGAGGGACCTGCTGTTCCCCACCCCCCAATTTTAATCTGCAGTTGAAACACAGATGATTGCCTCCACCTGTTACTTTTCAGCGCTGAGCCTTCTGCAATGATAGAAATGTTCTAAATCTGCACTATCCAATACAGTAGTCAGTATCAAGCATTTGAAATGTGGCTAGTATGACTGAAAGACTGATTTTTAATTTTGTTTAACTGTAAGTAATTCAAATTAAAATTGAAATATCCACTTGTGGCTGCCATACCGAACAGTGCAGTCTGAGATCTTAGAGCTGTAGAATGTGCTAGTACACTATAGCACCACCCTCAGAACCCCTCTTAGGAGATGTTAGAAGAAGTAGAAAAGGATTTTTTTTGGAGCTGCTCTGATTAAATTGGGAGCTGTAGGACTAAGGCCCCCTGATTGCCTCTCACTCCACAGGGTAGCTGAGCTCACTCTTATTCAAGTGACTGGGCAAAAATTAGCATTCTCCTTAGCT